TACCCCTGGATCCGCCCTTGCTCATACCATAATGCAAAAGTTGCTTTGCACAATTCGCAACATACCTAATTAATTTTAGTGGGAGTTTGGCCGATTTGCCTTCCATGGGAAGCTGATAAAAAGAATCGATCGTTCTTGGGTAACCAACCTTTTGTGGCCGGTTGGGGAAATTTGCAATTCAGTAAGTGGAGCTTGACTGAACTTTTAATAATCACCAGCTAATAATCACCCCATCAACTCACAGACGGTCCTTCAAGCACGAACTTACAGCTTGCTACCATTCCTGTCGTGGAAAACAGCAAGTGTAAAAAGGCTTATGAGTCAGCAGCAATAATAGATGAAAGCATTCTTTGTGCAGGATGGGATAATGGGAATAAAGATGCTTGCAAAGGAGACTCCGGAGGTTCGTCTAGTTTCTAATCTAATTGGCGCTCAGTTTGAGCTCAAACGATTAATTCTGTGGCAGAAATTACTGTTTTTTTGCGCTATTATTAATTTACTAGCTCATCCACTTTTTTATAGGACCCCTTATGTATGGAACGGTTCAGCGAGATACTAAAGGAATTCGATTCTTTCAAATTGGAGTGGTTTCGTATGGTTTCCAGTGTGCTGTAGCGGGTTATCCTGGAGTATATACCAGAGTAACATATTTTCTGAACTGGATCGGCAACAATCTAAACTAACCATCTTCATGCTGGAATGTTTAGGTCGTGGTTGTGCCAAGGATTCCTCAGCATGCGGAAGTTGGAATATATTTATGTGGCTTAATTTGCGAATTTCATTTAATTTCCCTATAAAAACTGATGAAACGGTTGTAAATTGGCGTGCGCAACAAAAGAAGCACTGCTAATAATGAAGGCGAAATTGTAGGAAAATTATATTTGCATATTAAAAATGAAATAAAATTGAAAACTGAAAAAATAATTCCTATATTTACACATATGGTATTCGACACAACTGTTACAGCTAATCGTTGAAGTAAGTCGGCTTTAATGTGTCCCTTACATATACATAATTACTTGAAATAGCCAATCCTACCATGACTTTAATTAGTTTGGTGTTTCAGTTGCCTTAATTGCAGTTATCCAAACCTTAATTACAGTGAGCAGTTTCATAACGAATTCTGCGAAGAGAGGAAATATTTCATAATACCCGCTTTAAAGATTGTAGGACGCTAACAAAGGAAAACAATGGAAAACATAAAAAACTAGCTAAATTTAAATATGGCAAATTAACTAAAACTACATCAGCAGTGGTCCTTTAGCTTTGAACTGATTCGGTTAAGTTCAAATAAAGAATCTGCACTTTTACATTTGCGTCTAATGACACTGGGCTAAATAATTGAAATAAACCAATATACACAGTGTGTTGCCCCATAAACTGGACGTATGAAAAGGATTCTAAAATAACACAAAGTTGGTCTATTTATGTGAAACACACTATGTAATTTTCCAAAAAGCAGGGTTTTTGGGATAATCGGTTTTTGAGATCAGTGTTATCATTCTTTGTCTTCTTCTCTTGATTCTCGCAAAGAATGGGGAAGTATGGCGGAGGACATTGCCAAGGCTGGGTTAGCGACAGCAATGATGTTGTCTCCACTTGCAGCTATAACTTGAACCGTGGGCGAAAACTTGCTCGAATCATCATCATTTTCCGTAGAATCGTCAATTTTTTTCTATGGAAAATGAGATCATAACTCTCAGATTATAAGCATTACGTTGTGGATAGCAAAGGTTCTTATTTGTCGTCTTACTCCAAAAAAAAAAAATCTTTATAAAGTTACGTATTGATATACAAACAGAAAATACAAAACCTTCCTCATGTTCTCCACAGATAAAACTCGGGAAATCCTTCGCAAATTCTATACTTAACTCTGAACCACTTTATTGTTGGGTTCGATATGTTGTCATTATTAATAAAATAAACACCATTTTTAACCAATATAACTTGATTTATTGCGGTTGAACTACTGCCTTTATTCAGAAGAATAAAACATGGACATTGCATGTAAGTATTCAAATAAATGATTAGTACTTACGCTACCGGTTGAACTCGATTCTTGATCTTGCCCCTGAAACTTACACAAAAAATCAACACTCTTTTATAGAATTTAATACATACGGCGAATTAGAATTATTGTTTACCTGGGGTGAACTTGAATTACTGTAGGTAAATTGAGAATCTGATTCTTCTAACTCGATTCCTAACGATGTCCGCTGGCCTTCTCTGGAAGTACAAAAAAGCTCAAAAAAAACAATCTTAGTTTTTTTCTTAATACTACCTTAGAGCGTGATGGTGATTTTTTTGAAATAGAGAATGCAGCGAGTGTCGAACAGCTAGAGTCTCATCATAGTCCTAAAAAAGTTTAGTTCCTTCATTAAAATAAAAGAACTTCCTACTAAACTAAAATCTTGAATGTTATTGAAGAACATTATTTCCCACGATTGATACTACATTACATGCAAAGCAAAGCGGAATTTAAACAACATACCTGTGGCTCATAAATATTTTTTTATCCTGCTGCAAATCAGTGTAGCGATTGGTGATGAAAATTTAAAAGGATTAGTTTTCACTTAAATAATTTATCGCTAATAATTTTTTTCGATATACATATACAGGGTGTCGCGCGACAAATGGTTAATTCGTCATAGTTATCGAGTTAGGAATTTACATAAGCGTTTTGAATATGGGAAAATGGAATATTTTAGATTCAGAAGTACCTACGGCTTTGAACTTTTCGAACCGTCGCAACTCGATAACCATGGAAAATTGATGCGAAGTTTATATTAGTACTCCGTTTTGTTTAAATATTATCACACTTTCATTCGTATAGAAATTGATTATCTTACTCTACTTTTTTATTACATCATTTTTTTAACACAAAACATGAAAAATTGACTAGATTTCATCTATATAAAAATCGAGTTTCAGTTTGTATTAGGTACAAAATCTGTCTAAAGCAGCGTTCCCTAAAAATCCTACAAATACGATTTGATTTCATAAACTTAAATTATTATTATCACAAAGTCTGGCACAGAACAATTTAATGAAGATAATAAAGGCTAAATATCACACTCCATAAAATGCTAAAATCAATAAAGAAAACTGCTGAGTTTTTCGGGGTTTTAGACCGTAAAGTCGTGGAAAGAATTTATCCCAGAGGTGAATTGCTCGGCTCAGCAAGCACCTCTGAAGGTGTAAGGAAGAAAGGCTTAAAAGCCTGAAAAAGTCAATAGTTTCAAGCATGAACTTTTCTGATAAAAATTGAAAAATTGTTGAGTTTTTCGAGCTTTTAGACCGAAAAGTCGTGGAAAAGAATTTTTTCCAGAGGTGGATTGCTGGGCTCAGCAAGCACCTCTGAAGGTGTAAGGAAGAAAGGCTGAAAAGCTTGAAAAAGTCAATAGTTTCAAGCATGAACTCTTCTGATAAAAATTGAAAAATTGTTGAGTTTTTCGAGCTTTTAGACCGAAAAGCCGTGGAAAAGAATTTTTTCCAGAGGTGGATTGCTGGGCCCAGCAAGCACTTCTGAAGGTGTGAGGAAGAAAGGCTTAAAAGCCTGAAAAAGTCAATAGTTCCAAGCATGAACTTTTGATAAAAATTGAAAAATTGCACAAACAAAAAAATCACAAAACTACTAATCGTCCTACCTTAGATCGCAGCGTTTCAATACTTACCATCCGTAAGTTCCTTCTAAATATTCTTCAAGCGACTAGCAAAAGCAGCACGTAAATCACTATGAGTGCTTTTGGTATAAATAATTTTAAGCAACAATCGGCTCAGGAAGCGAAATACCGGAAAATATTACTTATGAAGAAGCTGCTTATTTATAGACCCGTAGTTCTTCAGATATACAGGGTGTTTGGTAAGTCCTTGCGATTCGAAATTCCGTATTTTCATATTTCAAGATGTTTTTTCGGTAAAAAAACGTATAAAATTACAACCTCCAGGGAGGCTGGGGAATGCATCGAGTAACCAAACACCCGTTGTAAATAAGGAGAAAGGCTCATGCCAAGCTTATGGAGAATTAGTTTGCAAAAGCGCTATTAAGCAGTGCTAAAATCTAAGAGTGAAAATTAATCGTCTAAATCAATATAGGCATGAAGCTGTGTGTGCTGCAAATAGTGTTTACTGTGCCTTGAAAGCTGGCTGACCTGACGTTGTTCATCGTTGTCGGAAGTTGGTTCAATTTTAATTCGTTTATGTTGCTGACTGTCTGCATCTATTTGGAATCTACCCTGTATTCGACTAGACAAATTATTATCCAATTGATCCCTCTCGTGCCCCATGCTCATATTGCATGTCTGCTTATTAAGATATACTGCTGAAAGCCTGAAAAATACATCTTCAAATTTGAACATGAAGCTCAAAAACCTGTATTACTGCGTTTTTGAGTAATAGCATCCAGAGTCTTTAACCACTTGTCGAGCTAAGGGAAACAACTCGTCTCTTCTTGTGAGCAAAGCTGGAACAAACCGACAAATTTGTGCTGCCGCCTCATTAACTGATACCTCATGTAATGTGAGAGGTTTTTCAGGTTTTCGCTTACAATCAAATCTGAAAGGGAACACTTGATGCTTTAATCTAGACTTACTAGTAAGAGCTGCCTGTTTACCTGCCGTAGATTGCAGCGTACCGTCGAATCTCGTCCATTCTTCTGGGATCATTTTCAGGCATTGACATCACAAGTTCCAGCTCTTTGCAAACTTTTTTCTTGGCATTTTGGGGCTTTGGTTCCAAGTTTGGTAACTGTTTACTCAATCTTTCAGCTGCAGCTGCCAGTTTCGCAATCTGGCTGTCCATCAAGTTGGGCGAACCAACTGAAGAACTCCCGCCAGGACTGGAACTACTCGATGGAGGACACGCAGGATCAAGAGGAGAATAAGGCCTGAAATACGCCGATTCGGGTTAAATGATGTCCCAGCAATTTAATCAACTAACCACCTTTTATTATTTATGTTTAATCCCGGACTAACTACTGGAGGTAAGGCACAAGTTTCAGCTGGCGATGGTGAGTACATTGTTCTGCTGTTCTCTGCACTGTCTGCCGTATAAAAAACATGATTACTAGTTACTCTGGGACTAGACAGTTCCAGCTCAAAGTCCTCGCCTGGAACCAGCGGAATCTTGAACTTGATCGGAGTGGTAACCCATTCCTGCAACGATTTTTGCAATCGCCGCACATGCAGTGGTTTGGAAGCCATGCCTGAAACAATGAAACATTCCGCCTGCAATCCAAGGCTTTCAATTAGTTCCTACGTTGCATACCCACTAAGGACATAATTTCCAAAAATTCATCTTCACCAGCGTCACAAAGCTGCTGCACATCATCACCTCCCATCTCCAATAATGTGTCGTAATACAGTAGCAGAGAAGCGTTTTGCATCACTCTGTACAGCTGTAGTTCAGCCAGATTATTGGGAAATGAAGTGGGAAACACTGGAAAAACCATACATGAATGTAATGAAATTGGAAAGTTCGGGATAATTCAAAATTGGGTGAAACACTAAAAAACAGGTTTTGATTGGCTGATTATAGTTTTAAATAGTTGAGATTGTTTAAATTGGTCGGTAGAGAGTGAACAAGGCATTGAAGCAAATAAAATAAATAAAAGTAATTAGTGAAGCAAAAGGGATGGCTGGAAGATAAAAGACACCGCACCCTACAATATAATATAATGCGACGAACCCAACATAGGGCCGGTTACTCGATTCGCTTGGCCCCATCTAAAGTCCAGATTTCTACCTGTGCAGTTTTTATGTGAGGTGCCGTTCTTGCATAATTAAAATTGTGTGTTAAGTTTTTTCCCGCTGCCGTCAAAAAAAGCGCTTAGAATATCTCGTTAGTTCGTGAGAAAGGGGTCAGAAACCTGTAAAGAAAAAAACAATGGAGCTTCAAAGATGTACCTGGTGTTTTTTCGTGGGCGCTTTTGTACCTACAAGATATTCAAATGGTCTGTTGACATTTCGTGTTCTTGCATATTAAGCAGCCTGGTATGCGTGATTTTTTATTAAGTTCACACGCGAATTTACAATCTCCTCATTGTTGAGGTTGGTTTTGATTTTTTTACTTTTTCCAGCCCTACGCTACGGGCCGGGACATTCAAAACGTCGTTTTTTTGATTGGAGATAATGACTTTCGGATTTATCACAGCATAAAGTTCTCGAATTAGTTCCGTAACTCTTGAAGCGACCGAAAGTCGAAAAAAATCTGATGCTGTACAGCGTACACTTTTCCTTAGCAGCTGATTGAAAAATATGTAAATTGTTCTGTTGCTGTTGTATAAATCCCTATTTCTGTTGTCTAACTTTAACATTTGAGACCAGCTGGCGGAAGACCGGAAAAACTCAAAATGACCCAAAATCAGGGTGAACCAGTGAGTTATTGAATGATTCTTAGGATTCCGGGAATATAAGGAACCAAGCTGGAAAGTGAGAGATTTTGCTGTTTGTTCGTCTAGTTTTCAGACACCCTGTATACAAGGTGATTCAGAAAAATGAGACCAAACTTGGAAAGTTTTTTTGGCTACATTTTGGTTTTGTTTTAAAAAGGTAATTTATCGTACGTTTGGTACCGATTTATGACGAGCTAATTCCACGAATTCATTTTGCATAATTATAAACACCAAAATATCAAAACATGCCTCTGCACTTAACGGAACTGCTTATTATTTTTGTCTAATGGATATGCAACAAACAAAAATAGTCTAATGGTCGATGGAGTTTGCCGACGCGCCTCGATACCCGATGAAAAGACACAATTATATCAAAGCACTAAACTCATCTGCGTCTCGTCCAAAAATGATCCCATTATTTTACCTATAAATATTATGTATGCTGGTTGAATTTGATCTGATTTTTTTAATTAGAAATTATTTATAAAATCGCTTATCGCTATTTAAACTGATTGGTCGCTCACCCAACCTCGCCCACCCCTAGCGCCGCCACTGTTCCGGGAATTAAGGAAACAAGCTGGAATGTGAGGCATTTTGAGCGAGTTGAATTTTTCCGGTCAAAATTCAAAGTTTTGCGTCTGTGTTTCGTCGTTTCGTGAGCGCAAAAAATGATTTTATGCCGAAAAACGAACGGTTTAGGCCAAATCGACATATATGGAATTTGCTGGTCTAGTGTCCGGACACCCTGTATACAAGGTGATTCAGAAAAATTAGACCAAACTTAGAAAGTTTTTTGGCTAAGACGATTTAGGTCAAATCGATTGTGGTACGGAAGATATCGTCAGTTAAAAATTGAGAGCGCTGAAAATGGGCCAAAATTTAGGAAGAATTAAGACGATTTAGGGATGGAAGAAAAACATCGATGTTTCGCAAACATCGATGTAACTCGTTCGATGTTCGATATTTTCACCATCGATGTTGGAAATTTGGGACATCGATAAAACATCGATGTTAGATTCCGAAATGAAAACATCGGACATTTGATGTTGATATAAGATAGAAACCCTAAAAAAGCCTATTTTTGCAGTCAGTTCACCGAAAAATGTGGCAACTATGAGTTGAATAAATTTAGTCGATTATTTATGTCATGGTAGTAGTAAAATAAAATTATTGAAGTTTAAGTTAATCAATTTGAAATTTGTATGCAACGGCAAACTATCAGAACATCGATGTTGTCAAACATCGATGTTTGACAACATCGAAGTCAAATCGACATAAAATTATCTCTAGAATTTGCTGTCTCTATTGGGAGGGTTCTTTGGATAAGACAATTTAGATCAAATCGATCAAATATAATAAAGCATTTTAAGTGTAGAGTTTTTTCCGAAAAAATCCGAAACATATGTAGTTTCGTAAAAATGCGAAAAGATTTGCATTAAAAAAATCGCTCGAGTAATAAATTATAAACCCGTTTATAAAATCAGAGAAAAAAAGCCGGTTTCCCATGATAAACCTAAATAAAAATTAAGCCAACCAGGAAATCAAGCACACTAAACATACAATGACCTTCTGACATCGGCAGTGCAAAGGGACGATTTAAATGAAGCAGCAAAAAACAAGGAAGTAACTCTAACAATTAAAAAACGAGTCGAAAAACTTTTCTCACAGTATAGGTATCTTAAACATCCAAAAAAACATACTTCCTCAAGTTCAGCTCGAAAAAAACAAAATTCCCATATTAAACATTTACATATAGTTATTATTCAAAGTGACCCGAGCGCTGGTTGAAAGGGTTGATTTTTTCTATGGGTGCAAAAAGTCTTCACTCGATCGTCTACCTGAAGCCAGGGGTCGTTTGCACAATGAACTGTTTTAGGGTGCCGAGAATACCACCCGTGGGGTAGTAAAACCCTCCCCTAGGCTTTTACACCCAATCCAATACTAGCATTTTGGATTTCTAGGGCTTCGCTAAAATAACACAATGCCAAAACCCGCCTTAAAGGGTACCCACATGAATTCGAACTATTGGAAGCTCTAGGGGTTAAGGGCGACCATTTTTGCTTGCACTATTTTTTTTAAATGGAAACAGCTTTGTTCGGTAGAAGGGTGCTTTTTCGCCTAGGGAAATACCGGTGAAAAGCGATCAGTTTTCAAACATAAAACTATGATATTTCAGTATTTACTGGTGCTAATTGGCATTTTTGCATGGTTAAAAAAATGGGGCAGAACAAAATATTTTTGTTGTTGTTGCTAGAACGTTTGTTACTTTCTCACTGTATTCACAAGAATGAAAAAATTGCTGTGCAATTTTGCGGATCAATTAAAAATACTTTCATGAGTCTGATGCCAAATCGGGTTTGCCATGCATTAAATTGGTTGGCCATCCTTATTCATACATACATACGGATGTAAAATTTTAAACAGTCAGCATTAAGGAAAATAAAAGGAAATAATCATCGCAGCTGACTTTCACCAACAAAAATGCGTATTAGTCCATCAAATTAGCTTTTTCCTCGACTGTACTTAGTACAGCAGCCGCGATGGCAAGACAGTTTTTTTGATACTATTAACCTGATCTTGGCTGTGTTTTTACCTGATCCCTCGGTACTACTTTAGACAATAATCACATTATTCTTCTTTGTACCATGAAATGATATTATAAAAGCTATTGCACCTAAATTATTAAAAATAATATCATCGGAAATCTACCTAGGACGAAAAAACGGTGAAACCAGAAATAATCGAGATATAAACTATAAAAACTAGTTAAAAAATACGGATTTGTTCGAATGAGATGACTACAATGTTTCAAACAAATGCGCCGTCATTTAGATTTCATGCTTTGCTGTCGAAGTAGCATTTCAGCTGGAAGTTTTCAAGTATTGATTTCAGCAACGAAACTTCTACTTTATCACTTATATGGAAAATTGGGCACTAGAAAGGCACAAGTCGAAAGAATTTCTAGCCAGTGAAAAATTATCACAATAATTAATGCCAATGCTTGTTGGTTTTTTGGGCAAACGCTTTGCAGAAATCAACCTTTCTCAATTCTTCTAGGTTTTGATATCATATAATGTCAATTAACTCAGATTTAGCAATGCGAACAAGCAATAAAATTATAAAAAAAACATCACATAAGAAACAGCAGCTTTATTAGGAGAAAGACAAACTTCCTTATACACGCTCATCTATAATTCTTCTTCCAGACTGCGCCCCACCCGTTCTTTTTCATAAAACTACACCCACGGAATAACATTTTCAATTTTTCATTTTGTTACGTTCCAATCGATAAAAGCATGTAGTGCACTTGGGTTTGAAATTTTCTCTTGAAATAGGACGGTCAGTCAACGAAAAATAAAACGCTCGATGTTGCGGTAGAAAGAAAATTTCCGACGGATATAAAACGTGCTCTATATTCCGGACAGTGTCAGTGTTATTGATGGAAGAATTTAGGAGGCTTGATGTGATGAATTTTGCTCTAAATATGGCACCAATGAATAACTGATTCTAACTCAAAGGCAGTCAGTTTAAGAAGCTTGATAAGTGATAAATAGCAGCGCGCAAAATCGCGTACGGGGCACCAAACCAGCCAGTAACCTGCGCAAATGACAGAATGAACTTAAACACGTAATACCTGTGGTTAAAATAATGCGATCTGGCTTTTAAACAGTTTTTTCCAAATAACTCGCGAACAACTTGGAGTTTTTCTTTGCAATTAGGAATCCGGGTGGCGTCAAGGGTGGCAAATTTGATTATCTATTAATTCTAATAATTCGCTTTAAAATCGCACTGAAGAAATACTTTTTCTGATACTGCCGAGTGACACCCGAATACAAAACAGTTTTCGAGATATTTGCATTTAAAGTAGTCGGTGCGATATATTTAATCTTGTAGATACAATATGTACAATAAATGTATAATGGTAAACATGAGGCATGATCTGATATTTATGCAGGATGGAGCCCCCCAGCTCATTTTTCACTGCAAGTGGGGAATAAATTACTTAAATGCAAAATTTCTTAATCGCTAAATTGATGGGGGAAGT